CAACTGTTTTTCTATAGATACAAGATATACTAGAAAATCAATAGATTTGGACCGAGAAAAAATTTTTAGTGGGGTATAAAACTACATAATACAACAATCTGGGTTTTTGGTAATTTTGTATTGATAAACAAAAACTACTTTACGGAAACCCCTTCTACTTGGGAAGTACTGTGTGAATTTTATTTAGAACAACCTTTGCCCGGGTTTTCACTAACTTCATAATATGTGCGTTTAAGTGATTTTCGGAAGTGGACTTTACATAGGAGCTATGACCAATTACGGGCCTCTCCAGAAAAATTTCGTAGAGTGATTCATACGTATGTATGCAAAACATATTTGTGTCGAATTTTATCAAGATAGCTTTATTTGACAATGAAATATGTGAGTTTAAATGATTTTCGGAAGAGGTCCTTATATGGAAGCTATGACCAATAATGGACCGATCCGGGAAAAATTAATGTTATGATTTATATGTATTCAAAACTTTATACCAATAGCTTTATTTATCAATGAAACATATGCGTTTAAGTGATTTTCGGAAGTTGACCTTATATGGGAGCTACGACTAATAATGGACCGATCCGAAAAGAAATGAAATATGTGCGTTTAAGTGATTTTCGGAAGTGGGCCTTATATAGGAGCTACGACTAATAATGGACGGATCCGAAAAGAAATTTAGTAAAATGATTTGTATGTACACAAAACATATTCAGCTCAAATTTTATCACAAAAACTTTATTTATCAATGAATTATGTCCGTTTAGGTTATTTTTGGAGGTGGGCCTTATGTGGGAGCTATGACCAATTGTGGACCGACTGAGATCTACGTTGGTAGTATGATTTCTATTCATATTATATTTGTATGTACAAAATTGTGTGTTGATACCGAGTTATTTGAGGGAGTTATTAACGGTAAACTAATTTCCTGGAAAATACACCTTTGTATGGGGGCTATGGTAAATATTGGATCAACTATTATGAGTTTGAACAAAATTCATCGCAATATCTTTGGTAGTTTCTGAGAAAACTACATAAGAATTGGGAAAAAAATTTTTATTTTTTTCGAGGTAGTCTGAAATTTTTACTCATAACTTTTTACGTCGTGAACCGATTTTTCTGATCTTTAATACCAAACTGTACCGGATAATAAAGGATGTTTCGGGTGAATTTCGGGAATTTCTATTGCTTCCTTTTAACGTGAGCGTGTTTTACACAGACAGATGGACGGACGGACATAGCTAAATCGACTCAGAATTTCATAAGGATCAAGAATATATATACTTTGTTGGGTGTCAGATGAATATTGCTTCGTGTTACACACGGAATGACAAAGTTATATATACCCTCTATCACCACTGATGGTTATTATATTTTTATTCATTAGCTTTTATGCATCCACACTAAAGTTTTGGCTGAATTTAGACACGAATTATTAAATCCGAAGAAATAAAGTTTTAAAGGTCAAATATCGTTAAATCTACAAAGAAGATACCCAAATAATTTTACTTATTAAAAATATCCACATAAATATCCACATTTTCCTCTAATTAAAAAAATCGGAGTTTGTAAATGGTCAATGGAGAATGTGTGCTGGAGTTATTCAAAATCATTATTTAATTTGAAAATAAAGTAAAGTAAAATAAAGTAAATTTTTAAGAGTTATATACATATATAGAAATTTTAAGGGGAGATATGAATGATTTTCTAGATAAATTTAGGTGTTATAAAAGGAACCACAGCCGATTTAAAATTCGGATTTTAGTGAAAATGTAATATGAATATATTATTTTCCCTATTTTAGAAGCGGTTTTTGTTCAGTAGTTTTTATTCTGCATACAAATATGGCATCGTAGACATTCATTCAAGATCTAATAAAGATTCTGTTTTAAAATAGTTATTTTCTGAGAATATACAGCAGATTACAGGTTTTAAAATAAAAAAAGTTTTCCGGTGGGAAACGCTTTAGATGAAAATCGATTTTTGATAATAAATTAAATTGAATGCAGATTTTAATTTTACCTAATCGTAAAGTTAGTTAAGGATCTACAAACATTTTAGAGTTTTCATATAAAAATAAATTTTTGACTAAAAATTTAACAAAATAATAATTTTCATATACTATGAGAATTATATATCATGATCTTTAGCATTATAAATGTAACAAAAAGTGGACGGAAAAAGGTCATTGCATTTCATTAAGATCACAACAGGCCCGAAATTAGTGCTATAGGTGTATTTATTCGGATCTTGCTCAAACTTACTTAACCTTCCACGACAGAACTATTGTCATGAAAAATTTCATGAAGCATAAAATCCAGATCCAAAAGTTGATTCCAAAAATACACTGTTGCCAAATTTCTTGAAAATCGGTTCATGTGTTTTATATATAGCCTAGAAATTTGGTGTAATAATAGCTGTTAATCAAAAAGTGAACATAAAGTAGCATCCAATCAATATCATATAGAGTTTTTTTAACTTAGGTTAGACCTATGTAGTTATGTAGTGAAAGAGTAGAAAAGGGTCTCATATATATTTATTATTATATATTATTTGTTTTGAAGATGTAATGTGTCGTACTGTTCATTCCACAACATTCATTAAAAAAAATTTCATGAAAATCGGATCAGTAGTTTTTTATATGCCTGAACGTAAATTTGGTTTAATAATTGTTTACAAAAAGTTAGTGTTAAAAGGGACATGGCGTCCGATCCAGGTCCTGAGATCAGACCTATCGGTATAGCAAATTTCATGTAAATCGGTTCAGTAGTTTTCTGTAAGTCTCAAATGAAAATTTTGTATAACAATTATATAGAAAAAAGTGAGCATAAGAAGAATCGTGACGTCAAATCATGATTTTATGTAGAATATGTTAGAATAGAACTATTAGTCTTCTAAATTTCATGTAAATCGGTTCAGTAGTTTGTCCGTGAAAGCGTAACAAACAGACTTTCTTTTTCATATAATTATAGGATAAGATATAGGTAAGTATAGTTTTATAAAAAGTGGGCGTAGAAAGAGGCGTGGCATCGGATCAAGATCTTGTGTATAGCTTATAGTTCTTTCCGAACTTATACCTATGGGTAATCAAATTTTCAGGTTAATCGGTTTAGTAGTTTTTGCATATTGTGATTGCAAAATTGGTGTAATAATAGTTTCACAAAAAGTGGGCGTAAAAAGGGGCGTGGCATCCGATCCAGATCCTGAGATCGGTATACCAAATTTCATGTAAATCGGTTCAGTAGTTTTCTGTAAGTCTCGAATGAAAATTTTGCATAACAATTATATAGAAAAAAGTAAGCATAAGAAGAATCGTGATGTCAAATCATGATTTGATATAGCCTATTGTTCCACTTAGAATAGTACTATTGGTATGTATACAAATTATATGTCAGTTATCGGACAAAAATTAAGTTTCATTATAAATTTCATGTTTTATTATTAGAATTATATATATTCTTGTATCTTATGAAAAAGAATTGAACTAAACAACAAATTTAGTTTCAAATAAAGAGTCAAGTGTCTTTATTCATAAATTTGAATGTGAAATATTTGTGGACTCTGTAACATTAACAAATATTTTGATGAAATAAATTTTATTTTATTGTATATGACTTAATAAAGTAAAATTATGCTGATTATCATAATTTTATTCTCATATAAACAAAAATATTTAAGTTTAAATTTTAAAATTTTAATTTTTGACTATGACCTAGCAATCTTTTTTTTTTTTTTTTTTTGCAAAAAAGTTCCCTACTTAAGAAAGCAGAAACAATTTCTTTAATGCTAATTGATTTTATACACCTTAATATATAATATATAAAAAGTTTTGTTCAATTATCTTTCCCGGTCACTGAGTAATAGCTTCTTGAAGTCAAAATTATACAAAGTCAAATTCTGCATAATGTACATTATACGTTATGAAGGCGTTTTTCTTTAGGTTTTTGCAGATGATATTTTTGTTAATAGGAAAGCAATAAGAAAACTTAAAAAAATGCTAAAAATTAATAGTTTATGATCAAAAACTATTTAATTTATATATACAGACGTTTTATTAAATTAGTTTTAATAATTATCTGAATTATACAGTAGAAATGTATAAAAAGATGAAATAACCATATAAATTGTATAACATACCCGGGTATGTTGGGTATTGATGTACGTAATTTTGCTCGGGTATAGACAAGACGGTTAAACTTTTTTTTTTCTTTCATAATATATCTAAATTCGAATAGTTATGAGAGATACTATATGTGCAACAAAGTAGTGGAACAAACTGTAATGTGTCGTAATCCTCAAAGGACATATGTTACGCATAAAAAAAGAGTTTGTTAAAAAAGTTACGAACAATAGGAAATATTTGATGATGTATGTAACAGATACCAAGTGTGCAAACCTCATGGCCGCAACTATATATACTTATTGCATCAAATTTAACTTAATTTAGCATATTTCTTACATAACATTGAAATACCTTTAAGACTATTTTTACCCTTTCTGAAGTGTTTAAATATTTATGGACTGCAATATTGGTCAACAATAGTTCTGAAAGTTTTCAGTCTTTCATTAGCTAGAAAACTTTTTCGACCCTTAATCTTTTCAAAGAAGTTTTCCCCGGTGAGACTAAACACCAGTTTGTTTCAGAAACTCATATACATAATAAGTCTCATCCAAATAAAATCAATCTTTTTTCATTGAATAGATAATTTTCTTTAGAAGATTAGATCTGGTCAAAATGTTAAGAAAATATAATTTTTATGATGCGTTTTTTGAAGAAATAGGAATATGATTTACCCAATTTTCAATCGATTAATTAACACCAGCTAGTTTGAGAATGTAATGAACGAAATAAGACCCATTCAAATAAAATTAATATTTTTTTGTTCAGATTGAAGCACTGACATTTTATAAAAATAACGTATTTATAGTGCAATCCAGGGCATATTGAACCAGTCAATATGCCCTGGAGCAACTTTCGACATTTATAAATGCACAAAACATACCTTTAATTTTTTTATTAACATATCACGTCCCAAGTTATAGAGTAAATCATGTAGACACGGCTTGTAACAGGCCAATGTGTAGTCATAGTCAAAACCATACACATTTACTTCGCTCAGATCTAATTCATTGCAAGCGAACACTCCACGCGCATTCACATCCTTTGGCAGCTTTTTAGCTAACGGTATTAGAAACCATAATAATATGTTATTAATTAATTAGCATAGATATCAAAACAATGAGAGCTATTGTTTAGTTAGGCAGGCAATATAAATATTAATTGGATATCTACATAGGAACTTCTCTTTGGTCAAAGCATACAGCAATTCAAAATCCTCTATAGTTGTTGGATTGTTTTTCTTCAAATTATAGTTGCTACTACTTAACGAACGATTCCCATTCTTAAAACATACGCCATTGTTTTGTTTATGACCTTGACTAAGACTTTGGTAAAGCAATTGACTTTTAAATTGCCTGGATGTATGTCTCAACGTCTGCATCGTAAATATGTATCGTTATTTTTCTTCAATATTACTTTCCGCAATTTATGTAATTTAAACAAAAATACGGAAATAGTTTATGTGAAGAAACAATAAATCAACACGAATTTGTTAAGGTAAGAGTTGGAAACAAATCATTATTTTTTTATATAGTCTTTGACATTTCAACGTTTTGACAATATATTTTTTATTTGTGAGGATATAAATTTTACTGTTTAAGTGCTATAAACATCTGTACAGGGTGCACTTATAAGGTGAAGTCAATTCTACAAAAACAACAAAAGTAGATAATTCTGTCAAAAAATGTACATGTTGCCACCGTGTTTTTTTTTTTAATTTACTTTACAAAAAGACAATCCCACATGCCCAAAAATCTCTTCACGTAAAGTAAATATGTATTATAAGATAAAATTTATTAAAAATTATACATGAATTGAAAAATTGTTCACAAATTGTTCACAATTTGTAGCAAAAATACAAATTATATACATATTATTTTTATCAGTCAATTATTTTTATCAGTCAATATTATTTTTATCAGTAAAAAGTTCCCTATAATTGATAAAATAGTTGCATATTTAAAACAAATAGTTTGTGCAATTTTTGAGTATTTTGCATAAATTTACTACGGATTAAAATGAATATAAAATTTATTATTAATCTTTTGTCCTAAAAATATAATGAATCCCTAGATAGTTGTACATATTTTTTCAGATTGTGGCAACTCTTAATGGTGTACTTTGACAGTTGTATCAACCTCAAATAAAAAATTGAGTGATCAGCTGTTGAATTGACTTCACCTTATAAGTGCACCCTGCATCTGTACAACCAATAATCACTGTTGCCAGATTTATCGTCATTTTGACAATTTTCACTGGCCTGTTGACGATTTTTTTCTCTAAATTTGACGAATTTTTAAAATAGGATTTTTGTACTAATTTTAATACATTTTATCATTTTTCTGTCTATAATTTAAAAAAAAATCGATGTATTTAGAATATCCAATGAAAATGTTAATAAAATTAAACATTATAATGTTTAGCGTATGTCCATTGATCAAATGATTTACGTAATAACGAACTCAAATTTCTTTGAGAATTTCTCTTTTTTTTGGGCCAGCACCAGAGATACAAGCCGATGCGAAATGATAGGCGTCGGCGGCGCAACCATTTTGGGTCGGCGGCGGCGGCGGCGGCTTATTACAGAAAATATCGGCGGCGGCTAAATTGTCGGCTCAATTTAACTTTTTCTTTAGAAATTGACCTTATAAGGTTTATTATATTGAAAAATCTTTGTATAATAGTCTGTTACATAGAAACCTGTCTCTATATAAGTTTTTTTCTGCAGAAAATGGACATTTATAGTAGTTTTCACTATTTTAATATTAGCACAATATTGTGTGGCAACTCTTTTAAAATAGTGGCAACTCCGTTCAATTTGGTGAAATTATGTTCTGAAATACATGTGTGATTCTAATCTTTATCAGCCGCTACGTTTAAGCCGGCTTAGCTTTTGAGCCGAAAGAAGTCGGCGGCGGCGCGGCTTGCAAAATATTACCGGCGGCCAGCCGCCGCCGATTTGAGCCGCCTCGGCTTGTATCTCTGGCCAGCACTTAGGAGTTATTGGATCTAGAATAATTAATTGGTAGTTGTAAGAAGAATAGATGGAGTAGTGTTTTTGGACATTTGATTTAAAAGAGGGAATTTGTTTTGTATACGAATAATTGAAACATCAAGTTAGTTTGCAAGAACTCAATGTAAATGCAATCGTAATTCAGCTCTGGGTGGAGGAAGATCGTCATTCGATCGTTGTGTGACATCGAACAACTGTATCGAGTTACGGTTTTTTGAAGTGCATGTTGACCATATGCATTCGTCTTAACTTAACATAAGTTTTAATTTTGATTATGGTGGATAACCAAAAAAACTCAATTTCATATTCTATCCAGTCGTACTGGAATAATTGGTGTTGGCGTTATAATCTATCGATTCGGCCAAGAAGTCTTAGATACAGATGCAGCTAAGCAAACTTAAAGTACAAATAAACAAACAAAACTAAAATCCATCGAAATTGATAAAAATGTCTCGATAGTTAAAATAATTACTATCAAATCGTAAAAATACTATCAAACATATATATGGAAAATAGCTTTGACGATTTAATGACGATTTCGAAAAATCAGTTGACGATTTTTTCCTCGAAACTTGATTTTACACCCAAATTATATGGCAACTATGCCAATAATGCCTTATCTTAGCCCGTGTCTATATTAGACAAATATTTATCACGATACTTGACAAAACGTCGTCAGAAAAATTGTCAGTTTTATGTTTATGTCAATGCATAGGGGTAACAAAATGCTGATTATATCACGACAACTCACAGATAATTTTATTTAATTAATACCATATTTTATAGAAACAATTAAAATTAAATCAAATTTTGTAAATAAACACTAATTTCACTAAAACTTATGTTAAAAATCAATTTTAATTGCACAAAAACAAATTTCTAACCAAATTTCACAATAAGATGACGTTTGTTACCAAGACAACATTGTCTAAAAAATTGTTTAGACAACACTGTCATAACGTCGTTATAACGCTAATAAATGCAGTCTTTTTATCATGATAATAATTTGACGTTTAGCATAATAAATATTTGTTTAAAAATGGAACAATCTACTTTTGTCCAACAAGTCTTATCCCTTGTCTATATTAGACAAATATTTATTATGCTAAACATCAAATTGTTATAATGATAACAAATGATCAGGTACAGACGGCATTTATTAGCGTTATAACGTCGTTATGACAGTCTTGCACAGTGTTGACAAAAGACAATCTAGCTGGAAAAAAGTCAAATGTTTGACATCTAAATTGTTTTTTATTTGTTATAGAAACATTCAGTGCTCATAACCATATATCAGATTCAAATATGAGCAATTGCAATTAGCAGTTTTTATAAACGGCAGTCTTTTTTAGCATCCTTTTTGAGCTGATCGTATAAAATATTTTTACTTTTTCCTTTTTTTACTGAATAATATAAGGTATGTATTAGCTTCAACGCAAATATGTGTTTAATTAAAATATTTTTAGTGGGAAAAATTGCGGTCGAAAATATGTTATTAGTGTAATAAATATTTTGGATAGTCAGACATTTAGTGTAACTTTCAAATGAGATTCTCGCGGATTCCCGTATAGTGTTTTATTGTATATTTATCTGTATAATGTCCACTTTAGAAGGAAAAAAGATTTGCTGCCAATACCTGCAAATACGTTTTCTAGATGCAAATATAGATAACATATCCATAACTCGGTGCGGAATGTCGAAATGGAAAGCAAAAAATGTATATAAAAAACACATAGTAGTATTTTACATATAGAGGAATAATGAACGACACGTTTTGGGGGTGGAATAGGTCTCCTTAGTACATAAAAAGGGCAATTTTTAACAAATTCTATTCAGATGTATTGAACATTTTTAAGTTTTTCATTTCATTTTAATGCATGCGCAAATGAAGTCTTCACTCCTTCACTCTTCAAATGGATAGTTCCGTCAAAATTTCATAATTTAGACAAAACAAAAATTATGAGTTTCTATGGGAAGTGCCACGCACACTTCACCCATAACGCCCATTTGGGCGTGTCGTTTTTGTTTTTATCAAGAAATACTAAATTCCAAAATTTCATGCGTCTAGCTGCTTCCAAAAATAAGTCATGACTTTTTTCCAGCTAGATTGGCTTATGGCAGCACTGTGTGTTGTCTAAACAATTGTTTAGACAACGTTGTCTTGATAACAAACGTCATTGTATTGTAAAATTTGTTTAGAATTTTGTTTTTCTGATATTAAAATCGATTTTTAACATAAGTTTTAGTGAAATTAGTGTTTATTTACTAAATTTGCATGTATTTTTAATTGTTTTTATAAAATATAGCATTATTTCAATAAAATTATCTGTGAGTTGTCGTGATAAAATCAGCATTTTGTTACCCCTATGCATTAACATAAACAAAAAACTGACAATTTTTTTTGCCGACGTTTTGTCAAGTGCCGTGATAAATATTTGTCTAATATAGACAAATTTACACACACAGGAATTTTTTTGATTGTGTTAAGGGTGATGGCAACGATCAAACAAATTTACACACACATTATTTTTTTTGATTGGGTTAGTGAAAAATACTTACACGCACTGGATTGATGAAAATCAAAACACTTTTGATTTTCAACTGATATTGAAGCAGAAGAAGCATAAGTTCATTTTTATTTAGTTTTTGGCGAGACAACATCACATTTTTTGCCGCAAGGTAAATGAAATATGAATGAAAACACAGTACCAAATTTTACTAGAAATATACCAAGAAAAATATCCAGTTATTTAATAAAACATTTTTTCATTAATAAAAAATAATTTAAAAAAATAAATAATTGTTTTTAAAGCAAAAATTACATTTATATTAATGGTAAAAATTGAATGCCGACAAAAAACGCATACATTTTTTCATATTTTTTTTTATCACCATGCGGTAAAAAATGATGTTGCCGTCACAAAATCTAAATAAAAATTTAGCTTCTTCTTCAATGATTGTTGGAATAAATAACTAACTCATAAACAAGTCTTGACCAAATTTTTTACGTGTTGCCATCACCCTTTAGTGAAAAAAACTCACACGCATTGGTTTGATGAAAATCAAAACACTTTTGATTTTCAACTGAAATTGAAGCAGAAAAAGCATACATTGAAGAAGAAGAAGCATAAATTAATTTTTATTTAGTTTTTGGTGAGACAACATCAAATTTGTTGCCGCAAGGTAAATGAAGTGTGGTAAATGAAGGTAAATGAAGAGTGGAAAAAAAAGAAATCATATTCGAATTTATTTAAAGGCACAGTACCAAATTTTACTTGAAATATACCAAGAAAAAAAATCCAGTTTTTTAATAAAACATTTTATAAATAAAAAAATAATTAAAAAAAATAATTATTGTTTTTGTATGTATGTATGTATGTTTGTTTGACTAGAAGTATGGGGCGTGGCACCTCCCATATGAATTGAATACAAAAACTCGCTTATATTGGAAACTGTTAGAGTTAACATCCAAGTAAACAATTTGGGTAATAAATTGGCGGACTACCAGTGGGGGGCGTTGCTCCTCCCATATCAATAAAATATACAAAAATTCGTTTATCCTCAAGAAAACCTGATGACGCAATATATATATATATATATATATATATATATATATATAT